AAAAGACAACATTCACTCCTTTGTAGAGGTGGGAGTCAACAGGTGTAAAACTGTACATATGGTCAGATTTTCCAATGTACCGATCAATTTATTTTTATTATTATGTAGGGTGGCTTTTGGGTAGTGAGGAGGGATTTTTCTGATAATAAAAAGAGAAGGTAAGAAAAAGAAAGGGGAAGGGAAAGAGTCAACATCTGCCTCTCTCCAGTCCTGTGGGACCTCTCTTCTCCACAACTGTGCAAATTTTCCAGTCCAAAAAAATAAAGGTCAAAAAAGGAAGTGTCATTGGCTTAGTACAACCCATGTTGGTTCCAAGTGATGACTGGGTCCCTTTTGAAGCACTCTCAAACCACCTATTTAATAATCCATTCAAATTTTTTTCCCCAGGAATTGGCATCTAGCAGATGAATCAAGTTCTTTTCTTCCTTTGAAAACTGAGCCATCCATTTCCATGACTCCAGTCCCCACAAACCTCTGCACTTTTCTATTACTCCACAAAAATCACATCACTGGTGACTGTTAAGCAATCCCTCTCAACAGTCCTAAGATGTAATGTGTCCAAGACAAGGAGCTTTGGGTATACAGAGGGGCCATTTGAGTATGTCTGAAATTATTTGGTTTGAATTCCCCCTTAAACTCTTGTTGGCTAAGGTGATTTAAAGGTTAGAAAAATATAGAAGGAAACTCAGCCAACTACATGCATAAGTAAGGTCTCCCTGTAATTCTGCTTTACTTATATAGCTATCTAAAGAAAAAGTGTGAATTAGCTTAAATTGGGTTATCAATGCTTTATGTATATGAGCAGCTAGGTGGCACAATGGTTAGCGACTGGATGGAGGAGTCGGGACATGAGTTCAAATCCTGCTTCAGACACATACTAGCTGGGTAACCCCAGACAAGTCACTTAACCTGCCTGGGAACCTGAAAGGGAATAATAGTACCTACCTCCCAAGTTTGTTATAAGGATCAAAGGAGATATTACTTGGAAAGCACTTTGAAAACCTTGAAGTACTTCATAAATAAATGTTATCATTATTGTGTACATTAACTTAAATCCCAAACTCTGGTGGATCCTGAGACTAAGAATTAAAATGACTTCCGATACAGTAGTTGATGGTTAAGCAAACATGAGCTTGATCAATCTCCAGTTACTATCAATAAAGAGCTCTGTGCTTGCAGAGTTAATTGGTGGACAGACAAGAAGCCTGGTCCAAGCAAAAAATCACCCTCTGGTAGTGGAATCACAGTTTGCAAATGATGTTGTGCTGAGTTTTAGGTGAATATTTGTCTTATTTTTATATACAGGAAAATGTTAAAATAAGGTTGAAAGGATTTCTGAATGTAGGTCCTGGCCTACTTGCAGTGAAGTGAAATGACCAGCAGAGGGCGCCAATTAGTCATTTTCTTTCAAAACTATTACATTGAGTAAATATTTTTACGTTTTATAGTCATCCAGGTGCAGATTAAACACAGCGGCACTTTGCTAAAATTAATAAGCTACAGTACAAACCGGCCAATGAAAGCATCCACATTGAAAGACTGGCAAAGTGCTGCCTCCTAGGCAGATTATCCAATTCTTTCGGGCCTCAGGCGTTTTAAAAAGCATTTTAAATTATGGGAGAGGGTAGGGATCTGCATGGATCACACACAGTCCTTTGGACAAGTCTGTGTTTCACCTCTTGACCTTTCACAGATGCAGCAACGGAGCTCCTTTGTTTAGTAATTGTATTTTATTGACAGTTTTCATCTTTACACATCAGTCATTCCCCAGAGTCAACCTCCTTCGTGACAAAGAAAAAAAAGTTAAGCAAATGCATCCAATTTGGAGAAGCCTGACTGGGCCCTCTTCTCATCAGAAACCAAACCACCGAAGTTTGAAGGGACCAGTTAGACCCACATGCTTCCCTTGGGCCGCATGTTTGGACTGAGCATCTCTGGCCTCCTAACCAAGGCGCCTGGGATGCTGGGAAGTTGTTTCTGGAAGAGCACACTGTATAAACAACCCACCAGGAAGGCCAGAACGAAGTCAAGCTCGTAATGAAGCTAACCCAACATATTCATAACAAAATGCAGCCCTGCCCCTGTACTAGATGCTAGGGAGGGATGGAGAGGGATGGGGACAGAGGCTCTCAGAGAAGGAAGGGCCTCTGTCAGCACAGGTCGGCACCTGTCTACACTTGACTGTCTTAGAACAAGGGGTCTCGGCATTTTTGGTGGAGCAGGCACTCTTTCCTCCTTTGAAATCTATGTGCCCCATCTCAGAATAATAAAATTAAACATGTAGGATTACAAAGGAAACTAATAACATTAACATAGTTATCAGGACATTATTAAAATTCCAAGTTTATGGACCCCCTGAAAACTATCCAGTCTATGAGAACCCAAGGTTAAGAACCCCTGTCTTAAGAGAGTTGCCTGGGGGCAGCTGGGTGCTACAGTGGATAGAGCTCCAGCCCTGGAGGTGGGAGGACTTGAGTTCACATCTGGCCTCTTGACACTTACTAGCTGTATGACCCTGGACGAGTCACTTAACCCCAACTGCCTCCCTGCCAAAAATAAAAGACCGAGGAGTCTCAGTGGCTTACCCGGAGCCACACAAACAATGTGATAGAAGTAGGACTAGAACCCAGGTCTTCCTGGCTTCAAAGTCAGACTCTACCCACTGTGGTACCCTGCCTCTCACTGTATGACAGGGTATAAAAAGTAAGCAGTTCATGCAAATAACTGTAACCAATGTTACTTTTATACAAGCATTCCTAAATAAGACAGAAAGAAGGAATGAGGACCTGGAAAAATCTGGAAGTCCCTCTGACTGCCCCCATCCAGACACCTGGACAGGTGTAAAGGCCTTGCTCACCTTTGTGCACCATTCCAATTTGGGGCCACAGAGGGACTTTCACCTATGTTATCTCAGAAGATCCAGTCAGGGTGAGAGATGGGGAAACTGAGGCACAGGAGATCATATGGCCTATGGGAGCTCCCACACCTTCATCAACTCTTCCCTGTCTCACGGAGACTCCCTTCTGGTCAAACCACGCAGAGTCGGAAGCCAGCTGACCAACCCAACTATCCTCGTCACTCTCATGTCACCCAAATGCCATCCAGTCAGGGAGACCTTTGAACTTGCCCAAGCCTGTCATGTTCATGTCAAAGGGTTCTAGTCAAAGTACCTCCCATGAGAGATGAAGAAACTGAGGCCCAGGGACTGAGAGGTCTGCTGATGTCTAGGGGACAGAGCTGGAAATCGAGCCTTGACTCATCTCCAGCCTCTTTCCATGCTGTTCCCCGTCCCTGGAATGCCAGACACTCCCTCCCTTTGACCCGACCAATTGCTCTCAGCCCTTCTAGGGAGCCAGGCACCTCAGGCTCCCAGGGCAGGGAGGAGCCCGTCCACCTAGCCCGGCACGTGGCATCTGTAGCCAGTGTGAATTCTGGTACAATCACCGAATCAGAGGGTTGAGATAATATCATGATGTCATTTTCAGGTTCTCTCTACAGTTAAATTAATTGGCAGCTGACTACACACAATCTCATTTGTATATGGTGGAGCAATTTACCAGCTTGGAATCTGGGGAAATCCTAACTTAGCAATTAACATGGTGTCCTATATACAGTGGATCTCAGTGAGATCTTGACTGCCTAACTCACCTAAGAGGAACAACGTAATTTTCACATTAACATTCTTTCCTAGCTTTGTGACACTGTCTCTTTAAGCCTCACAAATGATCTGATGTGGAATGGGTGTGGTTTTCTCCATGTTACATTCCTAACCTTTTCTGGGGGGCCTGAACCCCTCTGGCAGTTTTTGGACCTTACTCACAATAAAAAATTAATCAAATCACTGAGAATACAAAGGTTAGTAAAAATAAATGCCCCATCCAAGTTCACAGGCCCCCTGAAATCTCTATATAGATCCCTGGAGATTTATAGACCCCAGGTTAAGAACCCCCCACCCCAGACAATCACAATAACTCAGGACCCACCTATGTATGCAGAGGAGACTGAAAATCAAGAACCAAGGAAATCACTTCAATAATTCAGAAAGGAAATTTGGTTCAGAAATGGACAGATAATTGAGTAGAGATATATGTACGGGTTTTTTTTTTAATATTTAATTTTTGGTTTGTCACTTTGCTTCAGCTATCCTGGTAATTCGCTCCATCGGCCACTCCCTTTTCTACATATAAAGGCAGTCAGAGAGAAGAAAGTAACCTTCCCAACAGCATTCAGCGGGGAGCTGGGAAATCACATGTGCTCTCAGCTCAGCAGCCTTTTCTCCCTTTTCTCCTGCCTTTGTTACATAACAGACAGCCGTGCTAGGACCAGCCTTATGTAACATTTTTATAAATGAATAATTTTAGAGCAGAGGTAACACTGGATTATGAAACAGCCCCTCCCTACCTCCCTGTGCCTGAAGATTGAAGGAGCATCAGATGGGGGAGGGGAGGCAGGATAACAGACTCAGCAGCAATCTTACAAGGGTACCATTTTGGATGCTGACATCTTCCCCTCTGAGAAAGTACTGGTGGGTGCAGCAGAGAAGGAATCAGTGGAAAGGCAGACTAACCTCTTTTTCCTTCTAGATGTGTGTATAAGTCTGAGCAAGTCAACCTTTGTGGGCTTCAGTTTCCTTTTCTGTATTGAACTAGATCATCTCTACAGCCCCTTCCTGCTCTAAGATGCCGTGAAATTCTTCTGCCTACCCATTTCAATTTCCACAATTACCAGGAAAACTTCCTAACAATTAGCTGTCCAAAATGGCCCCAGGAGGAAGTGAGCGCCATCTCCCCACCTCCCATGATAAAAGTCAGGAAAGCACTTTATAACTCTAAAAGAGTCATCCACGCCCTTCTTTAGCATTCACCTTTAAAGCAATATTGGGTGCTTTGACATTTCTACTCTAAATTCTAATCTAAACTACACCGTTTTCATTGAAATGTTTAAGTTCCTTCAAAGCTATAATTTATACTTGGAAGAGCAAACTTGAATGCGTAACTCACCGTCTTTCAGCTCCATTTCCAATTTGTTCCTCCAGTTTCTGCAGTTCTTGTGTGTAAGCCATAATTCGAGCATCGCAGACCATCAGATTTTTCACTGCCTCCAAGAGTTGGTCTTTTTGAGTACTCAGTGAAAGGAGTTTGCATATTCCCTCTCGCATCCGGGTTTCAAAGTCCAGTTTTCCTTGAATGCTGCCATCCTAAAGGAAAGCAAACTGATGGTTAAAAGATTGGGGAATAACATTTAGAGAAGGGGAGGGAAGGGAAAGGATTTTAACCTTGTACCCCCAGCAGAAGGTATTGTACCTGGTAGGTCGTTCATCTACGCTCATAGAATTGAACTATGTTGATTCCACATATTTAATATGAGAATGCAAAGGGCTGATTGCATTTCCACTTACGTGACTCTTAATTAAGCTGGTGTCCTGGGGGGCTGGAGGAAGGGGGAGAGGGAAGGGATCATGATCCCAGGTGCCAACATTCAGAGCTTGTCCTAACATTTCTCTTACTAATAGTAAAATCTTCCTTCTGAACAGTTAATATAAATAAGATGATCTGAATAAAAAGGAGTAAAAGGCACAAAAACTTTTTAAACTGCTTTTTTATCTTGAAATTGATCAGAACATATGAAATTATTCATTTAGAAATTCCCTATTTTAAGGATACAAAACAGCCCTCTACAAGAAAAGGAAACTGATGGGTAGAGCACTTACACGTTTTGGAAAGATTACCAGGAGAGAGGAACACTAGATTTCTCAGCTTCACCATCCAAATGAGTGCATTAACACATGCCAAAAAAAGACATATTTATTGAATGACAGTGTCCTTTGGTGTAAGTATATACATCGCAAAACACTCTGGTGCTGTGGTAAGGTAAGCCTGAACTTACTGTGTAAATATGTCATATGGATGTAGTTTTTCTCTACCAATAATGCCTTTACATCTATTTAGTTTCAATGATCAGGGTCTTTTCTTCTTTCTAAAGACTTCTTACTAGCCCCCCAAGTAAATCCTCTTTAAACAACCAGTAAACAATTTAGTCTTGTCCTCTTTGACCGTGAATAAGTCATTTAATGCTACTGGGTCTCAGTTTCCCCCCATAAATAATGGGCACAATGTGCCTCACAGAATTAACAGGACTCAAATGCTTTGTAAATAGTAAAGCATTGTACACAAATGTGACTTGTTTTGCAGCAAGAAAAACAAAAGCAAGCTTACTCAGGAACCAGAATGTGCATGAGGCCACAGGGAGTTGGGATGAGCAGCCTGAGACTCCCCAAGGACAGCTCATGCTGCCAGCAGGTCCCACTTTGGGGCCCAAGGCCATCTAACAAGAAGCAAGCCTGAAGCAGGGGGGGGAGCTAAATTTGTCAGTAGAGGAAATGGGTTTAAATCCCAGCTGTCATTTACTACCTGGATGACCTTAGGCAAATGACTTAATCCCTCTGACATTTTATTTCTATAAAAGGAGTCAGACTAGAGCTGGGATTCTTAACCTTTTTTGGGGTGAAGGGCCTCAGTGGTAGTTGGGTGAGACCTTTTATTACTGTTCTGTCTCCAGCAAATGCTAGATTTCAACGAAAGGCTAGAGAAAAGAGTGATGTATTTTTTTCTCCATCCAACTTTACAGACTCCCTGAAGTTCATCCATGCACCCCAGGCTGGGAAGGCCTGGAGATAATCTCTAAAGTCTAAAATTCTGTGGTCCCTCCCTGAGTCATGTCACTTTGGAAAGTTGTCATACTTCACAGGCGCCACCAGATGGCGACAGCTACAAGGAGGAGAGGAGTTTTAACTCTCATGGACAGAGAAAGGTTCCCAGGCATCAAAATAAAGCACCAGGTTCTTGCCCAGGTGCCCCCTAAGATATCTCCCAACCCTCACTGCAGGTCTTGGACTTAAAGATGTCTGGGGGAAAATGAAAATGGCTAAAAACAACTCAGAGAGGAGAAAGCTACTGCGGACCTTGGCTTTTCTTCATTTGACACAGAACAGATGGGATGACTATGCAGGCTCACATTTCGGGGGACAGCACTTAAGTCTGCAAAGTGCTTGACATTTTCTCATTTCATTCTCCCAACAACCTTGGGAGGTGGATGTGATTATTAGCCCCATTTTACAGAGGAGGAAACTGAGGCAAACCAGGGGTTAAGTGGCTTGTCCACGGTCACACAGCTAGTAAGTAATTCAGATCTTCTGGACTCAACATCCAGCACTTTGAACAAAATCATCACAGAAAGGGAAAGGAGAAGAGTATACCGAACAAGAAACAGATCCTATCCTGGGGAAGGCTCGTCTTAGGCTATTTAAAGTCAAATGGATCTAGAGAGAGAGAGTGAGAGATCAAGGACCAGGAAGGGTGTGGGTCTCTGAATACATTCAAAGCCAATCTAAATATGATCAATCAGCAAATTAGTTCTCCACAGACAGACAGATGGGTAGAGATATAATAAGGTAAATATATAATAATACTAGTGACATTTATATAGAGCTTACTATATGCTAGTTATTGACTCGTTACAACTAACTCATTTGATCCTCACAATAACTTTGGGAGGCAGGTGTTCTTATAATTCCTATTTTTATAATTCCTATTTTACAGATGAAGAAACTGAGGCAAACAGAAGTTAAGTGACTTGCCCAGGGTCAAACCACTAGTAAGTGTCTGAGGCCAAATTTGATAGATAGGAGGAGAGTGTGGGGGGAGAGAAAGAGAGAGAGAAAAGAGAAGGAGGGAGAGACAGAGATACAGATACACATTATTCATATTTGTCTAACTTTACAGGCAGAAAAGACTCACTGACCTGCAGCAGATGTGGAGTAGAGACATACTTAATTCTGGTCTGTGCAGACGGAGGAAGATGGGCTCTGTAGCCTTTGAGGAGTCAAAGGGGCTTGTTACCAATAGAAAGTGTATCGGGGGAGGAGAAAGATGCCTGGTGATTTTGCTCATGGTCATGGCCATTCTTGGATAACTGAGTGCAAATCCAAGTGTGTCTTTAGTCAATGGTGTTTGCTAACACCATGGAGGGAAGGAAAGAGTCCTAGAGGAACCCTCTGCTACCACCTGTGGCTGGTCTCCCTGCCCCAAGGCTCGGCTCCTCCCACTCCTGCCCATCCTCCACTCAGCAGCCAAAGGCATTTTCCCAAAGCCCAAATCTGACCATGTCACCCTCTGTCCCTACGCAGTAAACTGTACTGGCTTCCTATTACCTCTAGGATCAAAAGATCAGATCCTTTCTTTGGCCCTGGCCCTTCCTACCTTCCCATCTTCTTACACTTGACTCACCTCCAAGCCCTCTATGATCCAGATTCACTGGCCCTGCTGCTCCTTGGACACATGCCTCTTCACTAGCGCACCCCACCTCCTGTTTCCCCTTATTCCTGGGGTGTTCCCCGCCCTCATCTCTGACTGGCTGGTTTTTGTTAAAACTCAGCTGAAATCCCACCTTCTCCTTAGTCAGGATCTGCTCTCCCCACTCTGTCTGCCTTCCCTCCAGAGTATCTTCTATTTACACTGTGTATGGTTTGTACGTACAGTACTTTATGTGAAGTTTCCCCATTAACATGTAAGCTCCTTGAGAGCAGGGACTGTGTTTTTATCTTTCTTCGTACCTCCCCAGTGCTTAGTATGGCACACAGTAAGTGCTTAATAAATGTTTGCTGCAAGGATATGAATAGGCAGTTCTCAGATGAAGAAATTAAAGCCATCTATAGTCATATGAAAAAATGCTCTAAATCACTATTGATTAGAGAAATGTAAATCAAAACAACTCTAAGTTACCACATCACACCTATCAGATTGGCCAACATGACACAACAGGAAAATGATAAATGTTGGAAAAGATGTGGGAAAATTGGAATACTAATGCATTGTTAGCGGAGTTGTGAAATGATCCGACCATTCTGGAGAGCAATTTGGAACTATGCCCGAACGGCTATAAAAATGTGCATACCCTTTGACCCAGCAATAGCACTTCTAGGGCTACATCCTGCAGAGATCATACAAATGGGAAAAGGACCCATGTGTACAAAAATAATCATAGCAGCTCTTTTTGTGGTGGCAAAGAATTGGAAATTGAGAGGATACCCACCAGTTGGGGAATGGCTGAGCAAGTTGTGGTATATGAATGTGATGGAATACTATTGTGCTATAAGAAACGATGAGCAGAAAAACCTGGAAAGACTTGTATGGTCTGATGCTGAGTGAAATGAGCAGAACCAAGAGAACACTGTACACAGAAACAGCCACAGTTGTGCTATGACTAATATTAATAGATTATGGAGTTTGAATGCAGATCAAAGCATACTATTTGCTATTTTCTTTTCTTCTATTGTCTTTCTGGTGGTTCCTCCTATTGGTTCTAATTCTTACTTACAACATCATTAATGTGAAAATATGTTTAATAGGAATATATATGTATAGCCTATATCAGATTGCACACTGTCATGGGGAAAGAAAGGAGAAAAAATTTAAAACTCAAAAGCTTATGGAAGTGATTGTTGATAATTCGAAATAAATTAACTAAAAAAAAAAAGTGTGCTGCCTGACCACCACAGCCACTGAGGCCTGACCTGCCTTGGCAGTCATATGATGGCCAGCAGCCTGCTTTTATCCTTCCCCAGGAGTCCTTCAGACAAACTGGAAGGACAAGGGACCACAGGAGGACTCCATCTATGGTTGCCAGGGGCACAGAAGCTGAAGATGCTGTGCATAAGAGCCCGCTGGAACCCAGGGCAGAGAGCGGCCTCTGTCACCAGCCACAAGGACCTGAGAGCCGAGCTGCCTTCAAACCGCTGAGGGAAGGAGCTTGGCCGTCGCACTGAGGGAGGACTCACTTTAGGGAAAGGGAAGCTGGGGTGTCCAGCTCATAGTTTTAGGGCAGGAAGGGCCCTGGAATCCAACCCCCTCATTTTGCAGATAAGGAAACTGGGACACAGAGTCAATGACTTGCTCCAGGGTCGCCCAGCTAGGATGAATCTGGGGCAGGATTTGAACCCAGCTGCTTCTGTAGAGAAGGGTGAGGAGCAGGGGAGGCCTACAGGACAGCTCCCACTATCCCTAGGTATCCTTGAAATGCCAAAATATCCAGTATAAAACCCCACAAATGCAGCTACGGGAGATTTACATGGGTACTCACTCCAAGGGCCCTACTAGGGATTACCCACACTGATGAAATTGTAAATCCAGCTAAGAGAATGAAGCTATGCTAAATGGGGGTAGGGGAGGCCATGTATTAACCATTTAGGAAAAGAACCTTAACACACCTGCCATTCATGTGGCTTTAACATCATTAGCTCATTTGAGCCCCATAACATCTCTGCAGGAAAAGGTGGGAAAGGGATTAATTACCATTCCCATATTACAGAGGAGACCCCAAGTTTTCTAACACTGTGGATCTCTAATGTACATGAAGTACACTCAATTTCCAGGAATTATTTCAGAGCATTCTGGGGAATTTAAAGCTATTACCTGCATTTTACATTTGCAAAATAAAGACAACACTTTTACCCAAAGGTGCAGATGATGATGGATGGAACCCTAGCCATTATGATGTGAAGGGTGCAATGGATTCTATCCCCTACAAGGCCACAAAAGCATTCCTGCAGGTATTTATATTAAATTTCCAAATGTATTAGCTCCCTGGATACTGGCAAATTTGCACTATGGCAACTAGGGTGTCAAAGTGGGTACAATGTGTAACACTTGAATTCAGGAAAGCTATGTTACTGGGTAAGCTGAGGCAAGTCGATTAACTTCTCTGTGCCAGTTTCCTCATCCATAATATGGGGGTAATTAAGGCATCTACCTTGAGGAACTGTTTCGAGGATAAATTAAATTAAGTAAAGGGCTTTGCAATCCTTAAAATGCCATATAAAGGCTAACCATTATTATTATTTCTAGATTTTGATGATGTAAGTGGCATTTTGTCTGTACCTCCCCCTGTTAAAGTTTCATTTCTTTGGGAAGCAATAAATAGGGTATAGTGGAGAGCAGCTAAGTGGTGCAGTGGATAGAGTACCAGGCCTGGAGTCAGGAAGACTCCTTTTCCTGAGTTCAAATGTAGCCTCAGACACTTACTAGCTGTGTAACCCCGGGCAAGTTACTTCACTCTGTTTGTCTCAGTTTCCTATCTATAAAATGAACTGGAGAAGGAAATGGCAAACTGCTCCAGCATCTGCCAAGAAAACCCTTAAAGGAGTTGGACACAACTGAAAAATGACCAAACAACAACAAGGGGGATCTGGGAAAGAACATGGCCCTTGGAATCAGAGCCTTTAGTTGAAGGCCAGCTGACCTTTACCACCTGCATGACGACTGACACATTATTTGTCCATTTAATTCATTTGTGTCTATTTAATCACTGTGCCTCAGTTTTGCTATCTGTAAAATGGGAATAATATTTGCTCTTATGGACTTTCCAGCTATAGTAAGGAAAGTGCTTTGTAAGCCTGAAAGCATTGTAGAAATGTGAGCTATGAGCTCACACTACCCCATCCCTAAAGCAATGTGCCAAAAATCACTGCCTGAATAATGAGCAAGGACAGGACCCACTGGACAATCTGGTCCAGCCCCGACACCCTTGGGGGAAGAGGAGGGTGCTAGGGAATCTTAAATTATACTAACAACCCCACCTTGAATTTGTGTGGCATTTTACAGCTTAGAAAGCCTAAACATCCTCTCCAGTGATTTTCAAAACAACCCTATGAGGAAACTTGGAAATCCTCTGGCATTCTGTTCGTGGTGGGTTAAGATAGCTATAAACCACTTACAAAACACTGAAGGTATTACAGCATCTCAGGTAAGATAGACTTCAGGGCTTTTCCCTAGTAGTTTCTATCAACCAACTTATTAAGCACCTAATGTGTGCAGGCACTGGGAATACAATACAACGAATGAAATGATCTTACATTCTACTGAGAAAACTTGGGGTTTCTAAACCAAAAGGATGGATCAGAAACTAACACTAAGAGTCAGAGATGAAAATACAAGTGAAAATCCGCTTTGAAAAGCAGCAGTTTTTGCAAGGTTCTAAAGGGGCTGGTAGACAGACACCTAAGGAGGTTCCAAAAGCTGAATTTTAGTTACCAGGATGGATTCATGCATGGAAATGTGGAAAGTAAACTGAACCACAGACAGCTAAGAAGTCAGAAGGCTTGATTGAAATTCCAGCCGACCCATGCTGTAATTAAATCATCGGAGCAAACAGTGGGATCCCAAGGAACTACAGCGTTGATCTATGAACTAGTTCATAGGAGACCCTCCAAGTGATGTCTCTTGCCCAGGGTCACACAAGGAATGAGGGACAGACCCCCAACATGGTGGACCAAGTACCTTCTCCTCTCTAGAATTATGCTCATCAGTAGAATGAGGATACAGAATCAGGATTCCAATGAGTTGAATCACAGTAATACAGAAAGGACCTGTTGGAAGGTCCTGCTGAAAAGGCCCTTGGAAATCATAGAGACCGATCCCCACGGAAGAAAAGGAGGTCTGAGCTGAAGAGACTTGCCCAGGTTCATACAGGTAAAAGCAGCAAAAAGGCAGGTTTTGAACCCAAAACTGAAGACGTCTGTTATATTACGCTGTCCTTCTCTGAACCTGTTTATCTGTAAAATGGGGGAATTGATACTTTTACCACCAACACATCGCCAAGCTATTAGGCATGTGTTAAAACAACAAAACAACCTTAAAACAACACTTAGAGAAATTATTGAGGAAAACTTCTGTTCAAACTACAGAGTGTCCCAAAAGTCTTAGTGCAGTTTTAAGCTTTTAATAGCTTTAACTGGATCTACTTTCACCCACCTGTCGAACAAAAAAGAGTTTTCCCTCATTCAGTGACAATTCAGTGAATTGTTCACCTGACGTATAAAAGGATTACAAGTCCCCATTTCAAACTCTGGGCTTTCTCTAAAATTCCAATTGTGAACTGTCTAGATAAAGATGTTGGCACCTTTCTCTCCTGTTCTGGCAGACATATCTGCTGAACAAAAAGCCTTTGCCCCGACCAACCAGCTTCCTTTCCCTGTTGCACCTTGGGTTAATTTCAATTGAGTTTCCACTCAACTTCATCAATGGTGAGTTTCCAATCAATTTCATCAATAGGCAGCTCTTTGTTCAGTGAGCTGGGGTGGGGGGGGTAGTGGCGGGCTGGGGAAACTCCTGCTACCTTTCATTTAGTTTTAAGTGAAATACTCTGGGAGGGGGGGGGGTTAGCAGTGGAAAGGGCAGGAGAAATCTGGACTTAATTCTCGGAGCTGGGTGCCCACGAACAAGCCCCTGAACCACCCTGAGGTGCACACTAGCAACAGTCCTCATCTTGGGGCTGTTGTAAGGAAAAGTGCTTTGTAAGTCTGAAGGTGCTCTAGAAAGGCATTTCTATGAGTAGGAGTATTTCTATTTTAGCATTACATTTACATTATCTTGTTATTGTCTTATTATTTATTATTAGTCCATTTGAGGTTCTCTCTGAGCTCTTCAACTACCGCTAAGACTTAGGGGTGGAACGCATCGGGGAAACAGATATAACCCAAGGGATCTAAGAGGGATAAGCTCCGGAAGAACCCCCAAGTAGGCTCAGGGAACTGGGTCCTAACCCAGTTACAACATGGATGACCTTAGGCAAGTCATGCCCTCTCTCTGGGCCTCAGTCTTACCATCTGCAATGTAAGGCAACCGGAGTAGATAACCTCTAGGTCGCCCGGAGGACCCCTCCCCACTCTCATTACCTATTATAAAAGTTTCACCACCCGGTAGGGATTGTCCCTATAGTCCCAGAGTTTAGCAAGTCTTGGCAGTAGGTACTTAATAGACGTTGGCTGATGCCTGGCGTAGGCTAGGTGGGACTGAAACTTGGACGTCTATATTAAGGACCCCTTGATACGGGTGTCCCAAAAATCTTAACGCAATCTTAAGCTGTCAGAGCAGCATTTGAGATACCAGGTGCTCACCCCAAATTTGAGAAGCAGTAATGGTGATGACGACAATAGAGCAGTAGCTAACATACGCAGGAGCCGCTTTACCAGTCTCACTGGACACTCAAAGGCGGAGGGCGGTAGGGCTACCATTATCCCCATTTTACAGATAAATGGGCGGGTGGATTTCTGATCCTGCCACTTACTCTGGGGGGGGGGGAAGAGGTTCCCTAGCCTCAGTTTCCCGACCTGTGAGATGGGAGGGGTGTCAGCCAAAACGGCCCGGGGTCCCTCCCGCAGCCCCGCATCTGTGCCCCCGCTAAGGCTTCCAGGCAGGTGCCTGGAGGGGCAGCGGGGCATCTCCCCTCCCCGGCCTCAGTTTCCCCGTCTGTAACGAGAGGTTCCTTTCCAGGGCTACCCGGAGGATTCTGGGGCAGGAGGAGGCGACAAGGGAGCTCCTTCCAAGGTCCGCCCGGCCCACCCGTCCACCTGCAGAGGGAGAAACTGAGCCCCGGGGCCAGCTTCCCGCGTCCGCGTGGGGACAAAGAGGCCGCCCTCCCGCACTCACCAGCTGCTGCGCGGGGTCCCCCGCCGGACGGTCCGGCGGCTGCTCCATGGCTCCGGCCCCGGCTCCGGCCACTGCGCACCCGCGCCCGCGCTCCACGCTCCAGGCCATCCCGCAGTGCCTGGGTCCGCTCGGGTCCGCTCGGGTCCGTTCGGGTCCGCTCGGTCCGCTCAGTCCGGGGTCCGTCCGCGCTCCGCCGCCAGCTGCCCGTCCGAGAGCGATTTGAAAATCCCGCCCCCTGGCTCCGGGCCTGGCCACCGCGCGGGGGGCGGGGGGAGGCGGCCAACCGCTGGGCCGTACCAAGTCGCGGAGGGGGAGCTTGGGCGGTCCTGCGCGTGCGCAGCCCAGGCTGGGGCGGGCTTAGCGGAGCCAGATGGCCTATGGGCGCTCAGGGAGCCACGGAAGGGGCGAGGCCTTTGCTGCAGGGGCGGAGCCAGGGCGCTGGAGGCGGGGCCCGAGGGACCGCTCCTGCCCTCCGGACAAAGTGTCAGCCTTTTGCACCTGCCCCAGACTGGAATTTAGGCAGGTTTCGGTGCCCCACCCCTGCCCCGGAGCAGAGGCTTCCCACCCCACGCCCTGGGCATTCTTCGGGAGTCTGTGACTTCATCCCCGTGGGCGCTTCTTCCAGCCCAGACCCGGTTCGGTCCCTACCTCTGAAACATGAGGCTGGGCAGGACTGCTCCCTGTGCAGAGCCTCCGTGTCCTTATCTGTGGCGTGAGGCTAGGCAGACCTGCAAAGAGCAAGGAAACATCAAGCGCCTACCGTGTGCCAGGCACTGTCCCAAATGCCTGCGCCGGCTCTTAGAGAGCGACCGAGATAACGTATGCAAAGAGGGCTGTGAATGCACCTCAGCTATTACAAAATCACGAAGTCCACGAGCTTCTATTAAGCGCTTACCGCGTGCCGGGCGCTGCGCTAATCAGCCAACCTCTGAGTATCTAGTCCGCTTCAGGCTTCCTAACAGCGGAGTGTTTTAAAAGGGTTTTAAGTTTACAAAGAGCCTTGTATACAAACGCTCACAACAGCCTGGGGAGTTCTGCAGGTATTGTCAGCGTCCCATTAATCAATAAATCAATCAACCAATCAGTCAATAAAGAAAATGTGTTAAATGTGAATGGAAATCCCTAAATGTCATAAACATACACGTAGCCCTTGAAACTTTACAACGTATCTTCTTCCTGAGAACTCTGGGAGGCAGGAACCATAAACAAAGTGGTTAGATGCATTATATGCAGCCATGCTAGCTGACATCTATCACTTCATGGTTCAAAGTCCTAGATGTCATTATCTCCTTTGAATTTAAAAATTGACTTGACTGGTGCCTCCCACAACTTCCATTTTAAAGAGGAAGCCCAGACCAATCCTGACTTCTCTTCTGCCATACCCCTGTGCTGGGGCACCCCAGTTCATCCCCACCCTCATCCCTTTTCAGCTGCCTTTTATGTGTTTTTCACTATTAACATGTAAGCTCTTTGAGGGCAGAGACTTCCCAGTGCTTAGCACTGTGCCTGGTACATAGGAAGGACTTAAAAGCTGCTTCACTTGACATGACTGTATGAGATGGGAGTAGGGATTTTCTCTTTCTTTCTTTCTTTCTCTCTCTCTCTCTCTTTCTTTCCTTTTTTTAAACTTTGTATCTATTCCCAACACTTTACACAGTGACTGGCACATAGTGGGAGTTTAACAAGAGTTTTTTGATTAATTGAAAAGACAAGTTGTATTCCCATTTTATAGATGAGGAATACAGAGGGCAAGTGGCACAGGCACACAGCTGTATGGCAGAACCAATAATCAAAACCCAGTCCCCCTGACAGAGCTGCTACTTTTCCCAATTACACTTAGATGCCTCATAGTAAAATGTAGTACGTGTTATTATTGTTATTTAAAACATAAGGAAACAGAGATGAAGGAACTTACCCAGAATCACTCCCAGCCCTAAGTCTCAGAGCTGGGACTTAAATGCATTTTTTCTGCCTCCAAGACAAAAATTCTTTTCAACTTTGCCTCGATGACTCACAACAGTAGCCTGCAACCTTTAGGATAACTAATCATAGAATCATAAGATTTGGATTAGAAGGGACCTTAGAGATCGCCTAGCTCATGAATTATAAAAACTCAGAGCTGGAAGGGATCCCTGAAACACATTTACCATCCCTCTCCCACCAACTCACCTCCAAAGTCTCAGATGAATAGTCAGAACCAGGTTCCATTTGAATACTTCTGGTGACAACATCCTCTTATTACAAAAAAGTTCTCTACCATACATTAAGGTTTTAAGATCTCTTTCCCCACAACAACTTTGAGCAGTGGGGCAGTGCCCACCTCCTAACTGAGGTGTGAGAGAGATGAGAGACACACTGAGACATATATCTTTGTACATGGCCAATGGATGGGTTTATTTTGCTTGACCCTGCTTACTTGTCACAAGGAAGGTTTTTTTTTTGTTTTGTTTCATTTTGGGTTTTTTTTTTTAAAGAAGTGGTTTTGGATGTGAATGATAATGAAGTGTAGAAAAAAGAAGAGTGAGTGGGAAAGAAAAGGGTCCTTGGAGTATTAAAACACACATAGAAAAGAACAGCAGGCAATTTGGAAGGATACACAGATTAAGGGATGCAGCTTTAAAACTAACGAGTTGAATTTATTATATGCTTTTTAAAAGCGGACAAGCTGTTTGCAATGAAAATTCATGGTGTCATGTCTTTTCCTGTTATCCACTGCATACAGAAATGAAAGTGTTAATTGGAGTTTGCCAAGAATAGGACAGGGACATCTGATGGACTTGGTATTGCATTGATATAGGGACCTACCAGGAGAGAAAGTTTCTCTGCCAATGCAGGTTGGCATCTTCTCTGCAATTTATAGTCTCAAAAGAGTTGCCTAGAGGGAGGTTAAGGGAATGGAATAACAAAAAGGAAAAAGATTAAAATAAAAAAAAAAGTAGCTAGCACAAGGATCCATGATTTCAGCAGGTTCCCATATCAATAGAGACCCATCTAAGTTAATACAAAATAAGTCTAAGAGAATTGTTCAATAACATCTAGTGAATACTAAAGGTAAGATTTGAATTCACCTTCTCCTCACTTCCAGTCTAACATGTAGCTCATGACACCATTCTAATTCTTACTCAAGGATTATTACAGGCAACATGGCAAAGAAGAGAGTGAGCTGGACTTGAAATCAGGAAGATGGGTGCAAATCTTGTTTCAGGCACTTACTAGCTGTGTGACCTTGGGGAAATCACCTAACTTCTCTTAACTTCAGTTGCTGAATATGTAAAATAGAAATAATAATCAATCAACAAACATTTATTAAGTGCCTAGTACAAGTTGGGTGCTGTCCTAGGTGCTGGGGATACAAAACAAAAACTGTCCCTGCTCTCAAAAAGCCTACATTCTATCTAGGAAGGAGTATGTGCACATATATTACAACTCTGATGCACAGTAACTCAGGAGGTTAAGAGAGCTACTAGGAGCTTGGAAGATGAGGAAAGGTTTCAAGTGGGAGGTAGCTCTTGCCCTGATTTTCAAAAGAAGCTAGAGGCAAAGGTGAGGATGGTGCACAATCCAGGCATGGAAGACAGCCATGCAAAGACAGAGATGAAGGTTGGAATGTCATATATCAAGTCCAGTTTGACTGTACTGACAAATAGGTGAAACAGAATAATGTGAAACAAATCTGGAAAGAAGGATTGGAGCCAGGTTGTGGAGGGTTTTAACTGACAAACACAGGAATTTGTATTGGGTCCTAGAGGTAACCAAGAGTCACTGGAGCTTGGAGAGTAAGGATGTGACTGTGTCCCTTACCTCATAGGGCCATTTCGAGGATCAAATGAAATAATGGATAAAGTGCTTTGCAAACCATAGCTATATATAAGCCTGGGCAGGAACAAAGGGGTCAAGGGCTTATATGGAGATGCCAGTTATTAACAGTTTCCAACTCACACATAAGGAATCTTTGCCCAAGGTCACACAACCAACGTGGAAAAGACAGAAGCACAATTCAAACTTAGATCTCCTACCTCTAAGAACATAGCGTTCTCCATGGTACCATTTTGCCTCCCATTACCTTGGGTCTTTCACAGTAGTTATGAATAAAAGATTTATCCCCTCTCTACCAACCTAGTGAGGAGCCTCAGAACTAGACTGGTCCTTGTATAAGGGCTACATCATATACCAAAAGCCTGTACTTTGAGTAACAAATAGCTGTTAAGAGCCTGCTATGCTCTGGGTAAAAAAGTCTGATTCTGGGCCTGAATCTTGTCTCAGCCAATTAGTAGCTCTGTGACCTCTCTAGCCCTTCTTTCTCATTTGCAAAATGGGGACAAATACTTAGCTTCTTAACTTCTCCCAGCCTTTCTGCTTATCTAGAAAATGGGGATAACTACCCATCATTGTTATGATGACCAAATAAATGAGATAAGGTATGTAAAGTGCTATATAAACTTGAAGCTTTTCTTGTTTGGTAAGAGTTCTGCTGACTAGCCTTCAAAAACCCAGGAGAACCTCCAGAGTCAATGAGGAAGACTTGAGTGGAGTCCAGGTTTTGGAAAAAAGGCACAAGTTTTGTCAAAATATGGGCATCAATTTTTGGCTCAGAAAATACGGTCATAGGATTCTAGCTTGAGAGCTGGAAGAATCCTTTTCTCATCCAACAAAAGAGGAAACTGAAGCCCAGAGAGGAGAAGTTACTTGGCTAAGGTTGAACAGGTATAAGAAGTGAGGGTCCGTATATGAAGCAGGAAATATGTGCTTGTAAGAATCCTCTAATGTGAGATAAAGTGGTTTGGAAAAAATGTGCAACTCAGGTGCAACAATCCCAAGCCCACATTCAGCTCATTGGCACATTTCCTTATTAATTCCATCCCCAGGTTCAAACACGGTCTCAGGGATGTTCTGTAACAGGAGCAGAATTATCCCAAATCTCAAAGGCTCTTTCTCTAATCAGCTTGTAGGCTAGGCCTGGGTAAAGCTCTGATTTTTCCTTTATCTTGAAATCATGGAATTCAAAGGTCTAGTAAAAAAAAATCACCATTGGCAATTTATTAGTATGTTAATATC